GAGAGAGAGAGAGAGAGAGAGAGAGAGAGAGAGCATTGAAAACAAACGTACATATCATCGTCTTCTCCACCCCAGCCCCAGAACTCGTTGGAAAAGCCGTTGATTTTCTTGAACTGCTCGGTGGTCAGTGCGCTCACACCGCCAAACAGGTCTTTGTACGGCAATCTACGGCACACGACATTAACGACACCAGCGGATAGTTGGATGGATCCGATCGATACCACAAACACACGCATCGATAATTTTTAAAAAACAAAATTACATTAATTTCAAACAAAATTGATATTCTAGTAAAGTTTGTGTGGCACAAAAGTTTCAACAATATTTCCATAGCTATCATGTACTACAAAAATACTTAACTATTAATTTACTTAACCATACATAGTTAAAACTATTAATAAAAACTAACAACTAGTTAACAAACTCTTAATCAAGTTATAAGTGCCACCAAAAACCCCTACTATAGGATCAGTCAATAGCGCACCTGTAGCTGAACTTATCGATGGCGACCGACATGTGTCGGGGCTGATCGGGACAGGTGTACAGATTGCGGTCGTCTTCGGGAATGAGGTCCACGTCGTGGAAAATAAAGCACTGGTAGTCGTACTGTTTCATGGCCTCCAGGAAACCGATGTTCATCAGTTTGGCCCGGTTGAATTTGCCATTACCAGCCTATTTCAGTGGTTATTAGTGGTGTGTATGTGAGCACCGGGAGGACAGACATGTGATAAGTGATGGCCACGAGTTGGAACGGGTTTGCAAAAGAGACAGAAAAAACAATTAGTTTTCATTATTAGTATATTTACTATCAATCATATGTTCCGCAAAACAATTGTCTATCGCTTTTGTATACAACATAATCAGCGATAATAATAATGATGGCATGTATTGTATGGTATTGTTAGACTCATCACAACCAGAAATGGCAAACACAAAACACAAATCAAAATGTTCTTGATCTAAATACTAATTCACTGTAATGGTATTCAATATTCTCTCTCTCTCTCTCTCTCTCTCTCTCTCTCTCTCTCTCTCTGCATAGTTTACGGTAGAAAATTGAGTGTTAATACCGGTGCGTGTGAGCCGTTGTGATGAGTGTGTGTATGTGAGAGGGAGGGGAGAAAGAGAGAGAGAGAGAGTAAATGGGAAGTGCGTGATCGGTATGAATAATAACCTCGACAATAATACACATACAATGGATAATACATTATATAAAAATAGGAAATCCTTAGTCCCGATAGAAATGTTGTGTACACTATATAAGGCATTACAACAATGGTATTGATTGTGTGATCACCGAAATTAAGTGCAAATACATCATAGATTATATAAGTATTCAATGATTACTACATCACAAATGCTATACACTATTGAAGAGAGAATGGAGAGAGAGAGAGAGAGAGAGAGAGAGGAAAACATAAAACATCTGAGAAAACAAATCAATCGATCGCTTAATTTAACAAAAGATTTATGATTATTGTTGTCATTGTATGGAAAATAATGGAAATATGTTTTATTTGATAATAAAATAGTTGGGAAACAAAACAAAACTAAATATAAAGCGATAAATCAAGTGATAATTCAAAGACCATAAATATAAATGCAATTTATGTTTAATTCAATAGAAATAGGAGAAAAACTAAATTAACTTTATGTTTAAAAGCTATAGTTATGTTGTTTTAGGATAAAATATTTCAAATATTCATTTTATTATATTTCGGTTAGTTTTGCAAAAGGTTTTAGTATTTAGATGTGAAATATGCGTACATTTCTTGCATTCATTACTAAAAACCCAATAAAAATCAAAAGTTTTCAAAATTTTATGTGTTATTTGAACGAAAGTCAAAAACTTTCGCAAACTTTTGAACTGAAAAAAAATTACACACAAAATAAACAAAAATAATACATTTTGTGTGAAAAATGTATTTGATTTACACGTTCACTATAACGGGGTCGACCGGGAAAAACGCATACAAATAACAACAAAAATACAGTGTATTTATTGCCAAAAACCCAATCATTGAGGAAGAAAGCAATCAATTTTTCCTTTAAGATCTAAACTACACAATAAACTGCTAAAAAGTACACTAAATAATACTCTCTATTGTGAACAAAACCCTTATTATGTTAAGTACACTAATAGACAGGAATTTAATACTAGCTAATAAGGCCTGGAGAGAGAGAGAGAGAGAGAGAGAGAGAGAGAGAGAGAATGTGTAATCTCTAAATCTTAATACAAAACACCCGGAGATTCATTAAAATTTAATACAATAATAAATAACTAATATAATTATAAATAGCAGATGATGAAATGAAATATATTACATAACACTATACAGCATAAGGAGCTAGAGTTAAATTCCTGGTAATAGAGAGCACAACAACTATAATAATAGTAATACTTGTTATAAGTTATAACGATGGCAACACTATTAACCTCATTATAACTAATACTTTATAAATGGTATTTAAATAAGAGATTTATTTATATATTTTTAATCAATACATTTGTTGATCGTATAAAAAGTCATTGAAAAAATGTAAAACACATTTAATTAAATGGATTCTCTCTCTCTCTCTCTCTCTCTCTCTCTCTCTCTCGGCCAGAAATAATACAGTCGCTGTCATTATATATAGTGTACAAATAATTTACTGGTTATTGTATACTCCAAGAGCTGTTCCCATATTGATATGGCATTAGGTTTGGCTTTGATTCAGATATTTTTTGCACTCAATTTTAGTAACCGTAGGGTTGACTGTATTGTCACACTTTTAAAAAAATTAATAATAGTTAACTATAATTAGGGCTAAATCTGTTCAAACATATCGCTATCAATGTATGATTTAAAATAAAATCTACTATAATTTACATTTAATGTGATATATTTGCTCACATGATATGTTTGCCATTCAATTATCAATAACTAATACAATGTCGTTGTGTTTTGTTTGAACAGTTGGTCGACTGAAAGTGTTAACAAAGAGTCCATCGTTTGACGAGTTGGAGGAAGAGATGCCCGAACTGGAGTCGGGCGGCCGGTACCGGCCCCGGGAGTGTCGAGCCCGACACCGGATGGCCATTATTATACCCTATCGCGACCGGGAGGAGCACTTGCGGACATTCCTACTAAACATACATCCGATGCTCGAACGACAGCAACTCGATTATGGTATTTACATTGTCGAAGAGGTATGGAATCAGTTGTGGTGATGGTGTGGTTGCCATATGTTTTACATTTACAGTGTCAATATATAGGGGTATTTTCATGTCGATAGTTATTATGTCGATAAATGCATGCAATAGTTATTAATAGTAAAATAAAAGTCGATTATTGTTATTAGTATTGTTGTTATGATTATTACATAACAATTGGTATGTTTTGTGTGATTGTGTTTGAGTTTTTGAATTGAGGTTTTTTCATATCAATCATTAGATGTGTTTTTTGATGATTTGATTGATTATTACTGTCTTCTCTCTTGAAAATAAACGCACGATTCATATTGTCTGACTCTCTCTCTCTCTCTCTCTCTCTCTAACGACAAGAGAAAATTGTACTGAAATTTTGTGTACAATTTTGGGGTTAAACTCAGAAAACACTACAACTTTTATAGTGAAAATACACTAATGGAGTCGCAGATCAAATCGCACTTAACTTTTTTTTCGCCGCCAATTGTTACGTTCAATAAATTGAAAATTTAATTTAATTTTTTTGCAATTTGTAATGTACCGTAATTTAATAAATTAGTTATTAATCTCTCTCTCTCTCTCTCTCTCTTTCTCTCTCTCGTTGTGGTTAATATGTGTTGTGTCTGTTGTTTAGGATCTGAGTAGACGTGTGGTGAAGACCGAGTGGGCGGCCATTGAGATACCGGAGCTCGAGTTCGAGATCACCAAACAGACCGGACTCATCACTACCGTCGAGGGTATCCTCGAGCGGGCCATCGATGGTCTGAAGCATACCATTAAATCGGTTTGACTCACGAGTTATTATGTCTATAGTTATCGACTTATAATCACAATTGTCTGTGCAGTTCACCGATGAGGACCTGTTGCTCAGCGAAAACGTGTCTTCGCGGCAAAAACTGTGCGATTTTGTACTCAAATTGTCTCTTTTGAAAGAAGGCAACGAGTCGTTCACTTTTGTACGTATTGTCACATAAAGTGATTGCCATCGCCAGTGAAAATCACTAATTATCTGATCCCTGGCGTACAGATCCTGTCCGACATCAGCGGCAATAGTTATGTGGAGAGTCTGTGCGCACCGCCGGCTGTGGACCCGCAGGTGGACAGCACTCGTTTCATACGGACCATCGATGAGGACAAACTGCTGGGCATTTACGAGTTCGGTGTGGACAACGACAGGACGGCCACCGAAGAGACACAAGCCGTGGCCAATAAACTCCAGGACGAAGTGCTGCGCTTTCCCACCAATTGTCCCAACTGTTCGGCGCCCGCCTTTACCAACATGAAAGTGCAGCGTATGTATAGTGTACTCGCAATTACAGTGTATTGTGTTTTTAATTGTGATTTTTTTTGGATGTCTTAAGAGATACCGCACTTCAAGGAAGTGGTGATAATGGCCACCAATTGTGACGCGTGCGGACACAAGACCAACGAAGTGAAGTCCGGTTCCGGCATTGAGGACAAGGGGATCCGCATTACGCTTAAAGTTGCCGATGAAAGCGATTTGGAAAGAGATGTGGTTATTGTGTGTGATTTTTAACACAATATTAATGTGTTTTATAATTGTTTTTTGTTTTGTTGGCTATTAGTCGGACACCTGTAGTCTAGCCATACCGGAGCTGGACATACATATGTCGGGCACGGGTTCGGGCCGTTATACGACCGTCGAGGGCATCGCCAGTACGATCATCGATGACCTGAAACGGCACAACCCTTTCGTGTTCGGCGATTCGGCTAAAGAAGACGTCAGGCAACGGATGAGCGATTTGGCGGCGAAGTTGGAGTCACTGGTGGGCCGGACGCTAGTGTTAAACGATCCGTGCGGTAATAGCTATGTGTCCGGCGATGGTCTCGACGTCGAACGGTATGAGCGCTCATACGATCAGAACGAAGAGTTGGGCTTAAATGACATCAAGACTGAGAACTATAGCTGAAAGTTGTGCCCATTTTTTTGCTGTTGTAAATTCACTAAATATTTTTAGTAAAACTGTTTTTTAATTGTAATTAATTTTGATTTGGATTTATTAATATCTTATCAATTAATGCATACATTGTTTTTCGCCGCCAATTGTTACGTTCAATAAATTGAAAATTTAATTTAATTTTTTTGCAATTTGTAATGTACCGTAATTTAATAAATTAGTTATTAATCTCTCTCTCTCTCTCTCTCTGCCAAAAGATGGCAATAGTTGTCCCAAAAGTGCAACACTTTTGGCCCAAACCTAAAGTTGTGTGAAAAGTTGTTTTGAATTATAAACACGTGTTTTAATTGAATTAAAAGTATTAATCATTTTGTTGTCTCAATAATGTGTGAAACCTATAGTAGAGATAGTTTTGACAGATTTGGTGACGATTTGTGTGAAGTTTTGTTAACATTTCTCACATTCAAAGACCGATTCCGTTGTGAATGTCTATCAAAACAGTGGCGAAGACTTGTATTCAATACACAGACAGAGATTCCTTACGATAGAGACAATCAATGGTCTGATTTGTCGACACTTGAGTTGGTATTAAAGAAATGCAAAAATATCACACATTTGGGTCACTCAGGCATGTATTTGTTTGAGAATCATATAACGGATCCAATGCTGGAGTTTGTTATGAAATATTGCCATCAATTGAGAGAAATTGAGATCAGTTTCGATGAAAATAGTGATGAAATGATTGACAGGTTTTTCGCAAAGTTTGCCAAACAATTAAAATCAATCGATTGGTACACAACTGATGATCAGTTGATACAGACTTCGCTCACGAAGAATATGAAGAATTGCCAGAATTTGCTTAAATTTAACATCAGTTTCATAACTGAAATCGATTCTGAATTTTCGGGTATAATTAGTGATGAAAATGAAGTTTACTTTAAAAGGATGTTTGAATTTCAGTTCACTTATAGACCCGAAGACACGACAAGAATCGATACTTTCGTTGATTACTATAGAAATACAATGAAATCAATTGTTATAAAGATCGACAACTCGTGTGACAAGAGATCTATTGATATACTATTCAATGGTTTGTCACAAATGCGAGAAATGAGACAATTTTACGTTGATTTCCGCGGAAGCGATGAATCACTGGAAATGTCGGCATTGAATGCAATGAAACAAATTGGTGTCAATTGCCGTAAACTACGGAAAGTAGGTCTTGAGATGGCAGTGAATCCCAAGTATATAATGTCCGATATTATCAATAAATACTTCCCACAAATACAACGCCTGGAGTTGTTGTGGTCAGAGAGAGCCCAAGACCCACCGCAAGACTTTGACATAACGTGTGGACTATTGTCTGAATGCAAACTTATAACACATTTACAGATAATTTCAGGCGAAAATAACTGTATAAGTGGTGTCCACTTCTTTGATGATATCGACAAACATTTAACACAACTCAGAGATATTTACATAAAGAGTGTGGAATTGGATGACGAGGCCATCCATTGTTTGTCGCGATTACAACATTTGACACAACTTTTCGTATACACCAATGATTCGAACAAAAAAGATCACCGATTATATGAACAACGATTGGTCAACAATTGTCCGAATCTGATCCCAAAATGTTGTCGAATTGAATGGTATTTCGATGGCATTGAACATTCGGGTTACGATGAAGACCAACATGAAAGCGATAATTTATACAATGATGATGAATACGATGGTTGTTTCTGAAAGAACCTATCCTAATAGTTTGCTTCAAAACCATCATTTTTATTATGCCTTATTGTTTGCTTACCATAATTATAATTACGGTGGTTTTATTGCTGGTAAAGTATCGATGCCTTAAACTAAATCATAATTACATTTGGTATTAATTAAATGTATTTTTCTATCAACTTTTTATTGAATTAAAATGTTTAAAATGTATAAATCAATAAATGAAAGCATAATTATTTAAAACGATGGTTGAAATGGTATCGCAATCTATGGTAACGATTGTACGCTAGGCTTACAAACCAAACAATTTATTCACATTAAATTAAAAGTTCATTAAATATCGTATTAATTAAGTTATCAATAAACTCTCTCTCTCTCTCTCTCTCTCTCTCTCTCTCTCCC